GTAATATTTAAAGACAATAATACTGAGATGAGAAGTGGAAATATGGTTCAACTAGGTGCTATTAAGAGGATCATCATTCCATATCTTGATAGCTCACACCCCCTCATTAATAAAAGGGGTCAAATATGCCTAAAAGTTGATACTTCCTTTGCATCAACTCCTCCTTCGTTCCATGCATTCAATCCAGTAGGCGTCGCCATTGGCGGCGCATATTGAGACTACCAGCGCACGGCGTTTCTTTAAGAAAAAGGTAGTCTCTTTTCCAATTTCTCCTTATTTACTGTTTGTTGTTCGCAGCCATCTTAATTTTTCTTATGTTTATCTCGTACCACCTCTATTGTCTTAATCGAAAATTATGTACCTATTTCTTTAAGAAATAGGTCTTCGCAGAGGAGCATAAAAACCTGGGCATGTGCATCAGCTTGCGAGCCAAGGATATGCATGCTGAACTAGTGGTCTTTGAATACCAGTAGAACATACTTTTCTTGCTACAGATTTAACATGGAATGGCAATATGCAATACTGATCCATGCAACTTTCCGCTTCAAAAACAACAGTATGCACAAGGGATTGGACCACATGGGAAAGGTCATAAGATACGGTCTCAAAGTTTTGAAGCATTTCGCTACCGAGCTATATAAAGCGGGTAGAGGCGTCTGAAAGCTTCATCGCAAGCTTTAGGAGAAGAACCCAGACATGAGGTCCTCTGATAGCTTCAGCCATCAAAACTCGAGGAGGCTCAGCCTCGCTGCCCTCTGTGGATGCCTTGTGATCGTGACCGCGATTCTTACATGTCTCATGGACTCCACTTCCAACACCATCGCTTCATGTGAGTCCAGTTGTGTGAGTTAATTGTCCGGTGTTTCTTTCTTTTTCATGGTATGCTGCTTACACCATTTGTCGAAACCTGGTTATCTCTTTTGCAGTAAGTCTACAGCTATCGAGCTATAGGAATGTGACTTTGCACATGGTGGAGGAACCCAACACCGAAGGACAAGGTCAGTCATTGTTGTCTGCTTTCTTCATGATCTTTGTACTTGTTGATTCAGCTACAGCTTATGCTGATTTGAATTGTCTGATACTGCCCTAAGAGATAGCAGACAAAGAAACTTACTGAACTAGAGAAACTATACCATTCCGGATTCACAGCAACAACAAGATACAAAAGATTTTCTTATGCTTTAGGTGTTCTTTTAGGGAGAAGGCAAGAAATTACTGATGCAATAAGTATTTCCAGTGGTTTCAATTGTTCTACTGGTGAAATCCATGTGATCATCGTCTTTCCTGGTAAGAGTCTTTTTCGTGTATCAATCCACAGTCCAGCTGAAAGCGATAACGTGGTAGTAGGTATATTGCGCATGTTCCATGGTTCTCAACCCTGAGAGTAACAGCCATCACTTGGTCTCAACCCTGTGCATGTTCTTGTAGATATGGTTCAGTCATTCGAAGGGTCTCCACGTACTACATAGAAAGGTGCAACTCCAGGTGTTCGACCAAATACATCTCACCCAGTGTCGAGTGAGGCCATAACAATGCATGATGTGGCACATAGAATTTGAGAGTCAACAGTTCGTGCCACCTTTGATTGATTCGAAAGTCTCTTCCATGCATGGGAAGGTCAACGCTTGGACAATTGGAACGCCTTTAATTGAACCAGAAGACAACTCTTCCGTCAATGGGAGGTTAACTTTAGCCTACTTGTTGGGCTTCCACAAAGGATTTGGCCACCTGATGCGAGTTTGACCTCTTAGGTAGAGTTGGCAGTGGATAACTTGGATCGTAATGCTCGCAGAAGTTGACCTGTGGGTGGCTAATGATTTAAGATCAAGATGGATGTATAGCTTGGCTCCGCTGGCAACTTGGACCAAGTCATCTTAATGATGAGTAGCCAACTGATGAAATGGGAGAGACGTAATAGTTGACTACAACCAGTTTCAGCTTTAAGACGTCGATTTAGAACAGGAGATGATGAAGCTTATCTTTGTTGTTTGACGAGCCTCTGAGATGGCTGTGGTGAACTGCCAGCTTGTATTTATCTCATTCTAAATTTTGTAGAATTATATAGAACTTGTATTTCTTTTTAATCTTTGCAATGGAGATAGGGTTGCATTCATTAATCTTTTAGAGAAATAATAAAGTAAATCATAAGGTATGTTCAATAATGTCTCCATCTGAGAAAGAACTACGCATACATGGATTGCAGATGTAGCAGCACCAAAGGTTCCACTGGCATTGAAAGAAAACCAAGGAAGGAAGGAATCAAGTGCAGGTAGGTGTATTTGCTAGCTCCATGAACAATCAATCATACATGTGCCTGCAATAGGCCACATATCAATTAAGTCACTCTCTGGTGCATAACCTGCAGATGCAGTTTCGACTTCACCTTCTTCAACAATGGAAGAAATGAAGCTGGATGAATCAACCACAGGTGGGTGCAAACTTCTCACTGTATAACGTGTGGCAGTACGTCAGGAACTAAGAAACCCGACTACAGCAGTGCTAAAGAATAAGTTCGCACGGTTACTTTTGCAGGCAATCAAACTGTGCCACTGCAGCAACAGTACGAAGAAAAGCAAGGCGGTGGTGATGACTCGAGCTATGGTGAGGCTTATAGAACTCATTGGATTACCTTTGATCGTGAAACCTTTATCGATTTATGTATGCATAGTGTCGAACTGGAAAACATGAAGTAGAAAAATAGCGATGACTCGTCAGTCATCAACATTCTGTTCTTTGGATTTTAATGCAGAGAGTTTGGTCAAGGAGAGCAGAGTGGTATGTGATTTTACGGCGCCAAGATCAGATATGTGTTGGATGGATGGAGACGTTAGGGTTCTTGGCAAATCATCCCTCGTCATGTTAGCTTCGCCACCTACAGATCGAGCTCCCACACACAACACGACGTGGAAGATCAGACCATACCCGAGGAAGTGGGAATCAACGATGGAGCTCATCAAGGAGCTCACCGTGACAGTGGCAGCTGAGCCTGATCAAGCCCCTCGCTGCATGGTGAACCACAGCGTCCCCGCTGTATTCTTCTCCACCGGAGGATTCGTCGGCAACTACTTCCATGACTTCACCGACGTGATCATCCCCCTGTTTATGACCTCGCGACGATTCAACGGGGAGGTTCGGCTCGTCGTGACCGACTTCAATCACCAGTTCATGGACAAGTACCAGCAAATACTGAAGCAGCTCTCGCACTACCCGGCCATCAACTTGGACGCAGATGACAGAGTGCACTGCTTTCCCCATGCACACCTGGGTCTTTTCAGCCACAGAGCTCTGGGCATCGACTCCTCCAAGTCTCCAGACGGGATCTCCATGAGCGACTTCAGAAGTTTCCTGAGGAAGTCCTTCTCACTCAGGCGAGCGCATAGCAAGGAAATCGACCTCCGGTCGAGGAGGAAGCCGAGGTTGCTGCTAATTCTCCGGAAAGGATCGCGGTCTTTCGTCAACGAGAGAGAAGTGATGAGGATGGTGAAAGGACTTGGGTTCAAGCTGATCACGGCCGGGCCGGAGGAAACAAAGAACATCTCTCGCTTCGCGCAGGTGGTAAACTCGGTGGACGTGTTGATGGGGATTCACGGAGCAGGGCTAGCAAACATGGTCTTCCTTCCTTCGAATGCAACGGTGGTGCAGATCATTCCTTGTTGCGGGTTGGCGGACGGATCCAGATACATCTTTGGTGAGCCAGCTCCTGACATGGGAGTAAGATACGTGGAGTACGAGATAAGAGTGGAGGAGAGCTCCCTGGCGGAGCAGTACCCCAGAGATCATGAAGTTTTCAGGAATCCCATCTCGATTCAGAAGCAACAAGGGTTCAATGAATTCTGGAACATATTCCTGAACAAACAAAAGGTCAAGCTTGATGTGCCCAGGTTTAGGAGCACACTATCACAAGTTCTTCAGTCCATCAAGCATCACAAGTAGAGAGGTTGCCTGAGAAGCCTGTTTTCTTCCCTGTTGCTTGTAGTCATTTATTGGTTCCATTTGGATTTCTTGTACTCAGAGAATAAGCAAGTCCATGAATGAAAAGTACAACATCAAGATTTGTGTTGGCACTGAGAGAATTTGAGGATGAAGAGAGAGTTTGCATTTTGGCCTGTGGCCTTCCTGCAGTTGGTATGAAAACAGAGCAACACAAGGGCTTCTATTGCCAAAAGGAGTAGTTGAAAACAGAGCAACACAAGGGCCTCTATTGCCAAAAGAGTAGTTTATAATGCCTTGAAGGAACTAATACTCAGATATCAATAATCAATAATATACCAAAGCATGGACCTAATACTAAGTCTCTAATACTAGCCTTACTTCCATTCATAATTAAATCAAAATCCTAATCTATTAGAGTTTCAGTTTAATTAGGACTCCTAATACTTACCGATCGTACTTCACTTGCTTATTTTAGAAAGAGATTGCTGCACCAAAGAAGAAGGCAGAATTTGTGGAGCTCTTCCTTGGAGATGCGGCTGAGAGAGCTGGATACAACTGGAGGAAGATTGTGGACATGGACATGAGAATGCCTGATTGATTTCCTCTTTTCTTTCTCGTTCTTTGGTAATAAAAGCCCTTTCGGATTGGTAATCATCGATTTGCTTACTAACTGGGAGTGGTTCTCTCAATCAAACAAGAAGCAATTGAGAAAGAACTTAGACTCAGCACCACACCTCGCTCTGGACTTTGAATCTTTCACCATCACTCTAAAGAGAGGCAGCTCTTTTTCTATTATTACCAGGTCAAACAGACGAAAGCACGCCGGAAGCACGACAAAGTCGTCTTCTTATCCTTACGACACCAGAACAGAAAGATGCGGCTTGAACGAGTCCAAGAAGTCCAGCATCCATGTTCTAATATTAGGTGCACTACAGCAACAGACGTGCACCAGTGTCCCAAACCACAGCTACGTGACAAAGGAATGGAAAGAGATAAGCAACAATAGCTTGATCCATCCATCTTCTTACGCTTCCTCGTCACTCAACCATCTATATAAACGCCCAGCATGATCATCATCACCGACTTGTCGTAGTTGCTTCGAAGGCATAATATTGTTGCCTTGGATCAGAAGCAATGGCCGCCTTCTCCTCTTCCCCCGCTCCGTCGGAGTTCTCCTTTGGATCTTCTCCCCTGCAAAGACCCAAACTCCACATGAAGCGGAGATCAGCGTTGCTTGTTGCTGCTTGTGACAAGGACGCCAATGACCACGACTTCAGCGGTCGGCTTGTCGACGAGAACATGGCCGTGCTCCGTGAGAGGATTCACGAGATGAAGGTGGGCGTGAAGAAGTACGAGGCGCCGTCGGAGTGGATGGGGTGGGAGAAGCAATACCACGAGAGATACCGATTAGATGTTTGTGAACTCATGGGGATGGTGCAGAGGTGGTTGCTGAGCTCTCGGCCCTGTGTGGGCTTGGCGTGCGTGGCGGTGGTCGCGTTGAGCTTGCCAACGACGGTGCTCGTGACCGTATTCTATCGAGTGATGTCCGTCGTTGCCGGAGGTGGTGGCGGCGGCGGTGGTTCGTGAGCGAGGTGGGCATGAATCGTGTTGGTTAACGTACGTGTGCATGAAAATGTTGGATCGAGTTGACGTGCAGTCGTGGGGTGTTTGTACTATTGTTTTGCTATCAAATGAACGCACAGTCCAAATAAGAAGCCGACAGTCCATGTAACTGACGACTTGCTTGTGAACGAATTGGCTGAGCCAAACCAAATCCGACTCATGTTTGGTTCGATTTTACACTCGATCCTGTCGTTAAAAATCTGAACCGTCAACGATGAAATCAAAGGTCAGAAACAATTCCTTGTCTTTTATTCTTTAAAAGAAAAATAAAGTAGAATCAGATGCAGATTACATGAAGGAAACTTTATACTTATGTTAAATATCCATATCATACGGACGTATCAGATCATAGCTACGTACAAATCAAGGCAAGGTTGGGTTCCAGTCTATGGGAAGAATTAGATGGAGACCATGAAACATGACTTTCTCTTCTGTGTTACCATTCAAGTCAATCTTACATAGGAAGTCCCACTCTCCACGCGGATGGAGTTGGTGATCCTTTTGGTGGTGTCATCTGAGAATAAAATACCCTCTGATAACGAGGGTATGAGAACCCAGCAAAGATCTGGGAATAATGCATGAACGTCCACAAGACCTTCCGTGGATGTCGAACAGTCAAGTCTTTATCCACGTGTTCCCGCGTCCTTCAGGTCTACCGCGCCCTCACGACACGGAAGGCTTCCCCGCAACTAACCTTGTTCGGTATATATCTGACTTAATATATATTAATCATAGTTTGACTCACTCATCAACAGTAAATTTATTAATGGATTTCTAACATGATATCAAAGCCTAAAGTTCCCAAACAAAAAGATTTGAATGAGCTTAATAACCAAAATCAAGCTTACGCGTGGAACAAAGTTAGTCATAACATTGATCAAGCTATGGTTACGGACAAAGTTAGATACATCACCTACTCTTATAAGTAAGTCTAGCCCAGAATCTATCTATCGACATAAGCTTTTGAATTAAATTGATATGTGATTTAATATACATTAATCATGACTAGTTTGACCCACTCATTGTTAATTGATTTATTAATAAATATCTAACCATTTAAAGCTGTGACTTCTCTTGGCAACTTAGAACCGGTCAATTTCGGTTTGTCTTAGATCCTCTGTGTCGGCCCCCGCTGTCTTAGCAATTTAATACGATCGGTAGGTGTAGAAGTCAGTCTTTAATGCGTTCGGTTAAGTGTTCTCGATGGTTGAATGAACCGCATGGGTTGGAGCTCTCAAGATCAGCAGAGCTTCCTACCTTTAAACTCGATACAGACAGCATGGTTGATGGCCGTCTCTCTCCGTCAGCAAGGAAAACCCAACCTTGCATTGAAATGCCAAGCCTCAGAAGCAAAGGCTTCTACACTGATGCATGTAGAATTCCTCTTATCAATGGGACTCAGTAGAATCTTCTTGGTCTTGGCATTTCAATATTCGACTTCGAACTTTCAACATGGAGGAACAGAAGGGAAACTCCTCACAGGTTGCTGTCATTCCTGAGAATGATGTGTTTGTCCATGATGCGGCCATGAACTATATATAAATTGGGCAAGTCCTGCGGCAAGTCAGCAAGAAGGATTTTTGCTATTTGATTCCTGCACAAGAACAGTTTTAACGATTAAATCCTGAAAACTCCCACATCAACCTGTACTAGTATCACCCTACGTTGTTGATTTAGATACGGACCAGATCGCAGTCGCAAGAGCACATGAGGGTGATGGGACGTCAGCTGTGTGCGAGAGGTTGACGACAGTCGGGCGTTGGAGAGGGTGCACATCAAAGAAACTACATCAGTGAACAACGAGGGCTCAGAGTCTTCTTCCACAAGCCAACCTTCCACCTTCCGACCTACTTCTCGGAACCTTCTCCTATTGGTAAACTAGACAAGACCATAGCGGCCCTCGTTATAATCCCCTCGTCTCCCTCTCGATTGCTTCCCCCCGTCCTTCGTCGTCCCTGAAGCCTGTACATCCTGTCCTTCCCATATCTTTTCTTCTACCAACCGAGAATTCTCTCTTATATATACCTTGTTCTTCAGTTCCTTCTTCCCTGAAACGAACAAAGATGGAGGCTAAAAGGCGCTGGGATGACTCCGATGAGAATTCGGATCAGTCGGGGGATAAAAGAATCAAGCGCGTCCCTTCTTTCTCAACGTCTGTAGCCCTAATTTTCTTCAGTTCATCTCTTATCATGATCATTTTATGATTTCCTTTTTCTGTCAGGAACCGATTCTAAATACACCAAACTGATCGATTGGTGTTTTAATTATGGGAACAATTAATCTTATGCAAGAAGTTCTTTGCATCTTTCCGAAAAGATTACTACTCTATTATGACATGATTTTAGGCTTTTTAGACTATACTTCGATGGAGTCGTGACAAGGAAGATCTTAGATTCACACAACAACACCAAGCTGTTTAGTCAATTGCTATTTTGTGTTGCATCCATAGATACATAATCTAAGCTTTTCTTTGTTCCTATATTACTGAAGACTATTCATTGTTTATCTGGTGATGATACCTGTGTCTTTCTCTCTCTCTTTGACAGGGTGATAAAAGAAGCTGTCACGGCGAACAAATTGCAGAAAGCATTTTTTGCCTTGGAGCCGTTCCTTCGCAAAGTGGTAGGAAGAGATCTCTGACAAAGCATTAATGTCTCACAGAAGAATCCCATAGTGTTTGACTTGGCATCTAAATTAACCCTCGTCGGTCGTCTTCTTTCTTTATTACTCTAAAATAGAAAAGAATCTGTTCCCAGGTCCCATTTTAAAGCTGCAATATCTGCAGCTCGATACGATCATTATTGCATGTAGTAGCTGATGACCACCATTTTCGTATGCTTCTATCATCAAAGATAAGAAGATTAGAGTATGTTGTGGCATCTGAATTTTTTTGTCCCTCAAGTCATGTACTTTATTGATATTGGATGTCTTATTAGGTGCAAGAGGAAGTGGGAACACTGATGCACAGAATCTACTCCTGCCCTCCAAGGTAAAAGAATTCGCAGATGCTTGGGAACGCTGATCACATATGAAGTTAGCCTAAAGAAGTATTTGCTCTTTTGCAGGTCCATCCAAATGCAAATTGAAGCTACAGATCAATCAAGCTTGAAACTTATCTTCAAGAGGCCGCTGTCACAGCCCATCTTCACCGGAACCAAGATAGAAGACATCGAGAACAATCCTCTCCAGATTCTTGTTGTAGACACTAATAGTGGTGTGGAAGCTGCCTCAGCGTTGCGCCATCTACTCCCTATCAAGCTCGAACTAGTTGCACTGGAGGGAGATTTCCCTTCCGGGGTTCAGGAGGATTGGACCAGTGACGAGTTCCAAAACAAAATAGTGAAGGAAAGAACCGGGAAGAGGCCACTGGTCGTCGGAGATGTCAACGTCACGCTAAGGGATGGAGCTGTGATCATACCCGAGCTAATCTTCACCGATAATTCAAGCTGGGGAAAGAGCGGGATGTTCCGGATCGGTGCTCGGGTTGTGCCGGGTAGCTACGATGGGCCAAGAATTAGAGAAGCCATGACCGAGCCTTTCAAGGTGAAAGACCACAGAGGAGAATGTAAGTTCGCTGACCACTCTACGGTAGCATGCATTTGGCACAAAGAAACCCTAACATTGCACGAGTACTGTTCTTGTGCAGCGTACAAGAAGCATTATCCTCCAGCTCTGGACGACGCGGTATGGCGGCTCGAGAAGATCGGCAAGGGTGGTAAGTTCCACAGCAAGCTTGCGGCCAACAACATCAAAACGGTCCAGGACTTCTTGATGCTGTTGTCTGTCGACCCGGATCGCCTCCGAGAGGTAAATTATGCTTGAACCCGTTGTCGGATGCACCCATGATGCATCTGAAGTAGCTAGCGAACGTTCAGCGATGCTATCGGCCTTCTCCTTGTGCGTTAGATACTGGGACAAGGGATGACAGATCGGGCGTGGGAGGTGACCACCAATCACGCGAAGACCTGCATCGTGGGCGACAAGCATTACGTGCACCGAGGCCCCAACTGCAACCTCGTCCTCAACTCAGTTTGCGAAGTTGTGAGCATTATCGCCGGAAATAACACATACGGCTTACAGGATCTCATCAATCGAGATGACAGAGTAAGTGCTCTAATCAGCTGTCGCTTGATGACTCCTCGTACCTTTCCCCGATGCAAACCCAGTCCCTCTTTTAACTTCCCCGCAGGCCTGCGTGAAGCAATTAGCTCGAGAAGCGTACGAACACTGGCATGACTTGGAAGAGTACGAAGCATTGTCTAATGGAGATGTTCCTTTAAATCACAGTACGTTAAGAAATTGAAGAACTGTGATCTGTATGCTTTCTCGTCGTGGTTGTTCTAACAGCTAAGCTTCTCAGCAGATGTGCAGATGACACAAGGTGTTGTGGAACCATTGCCTCTGTACGCTGACCAAGAGAATGGATCACTGCTGCGTCAGTTTGGTCCTCCGCAGCCCTTCTGATCGATCTGCAGTTAATCAGCACATATGTCATAGTGATACGAACTGCGCGCCCTGATTGCTTGCACCGTGAGACTAAGCTCGGCGAGCAACGCGAGGCGTATATGAATTCTTCACCCCGTTAGCATGCTGTGTAAACACTTGTTGTTTTCGATGGTTTTCCTTTACTATAATATGGCTCGAGATGATTATACATGCATGCCGAGAAGCATCTGATCAGAAAATTTTCTCGAGCCCTATGAATGCCACTGGGTTTCTATAGCCAATACCATAGACCAAAGAAATATACAAACCATTTTTAACTTGTTATTTCGATTCAAAGATTTAACATGGAAGGATCTATTCCACTCATATGTCATCCTTTTCTCTTTGACCGTTCTTGCTTGCGGATTGGCTTGAGATAACTTACAGGAATCATCCACAAAGTGTAGAACTCCCTGTGTAACGCGTCTTCCGAGGATGACCTTGTCGAAAGCAGAAGAGTCTATTTGGATCAACGCCTACCATATAAGGTAAGAAAAAACTCAAAAATAAATAATTAAATATAAAATTAAAATTCACTTGGTGCCTAATTTTATTAAAAAAATTCAAATTATCACGATGTGATATCGAATTATGAGCTCACCTAAGTTAATTTAAGCTCATACATAAATATCCTTATTTATATATTCTCGTATAAATTCATCGTTTTTTTTACCTATTCATTTCAAGATGAGTTTTTCGGAGGAGTACCACATTTTCATAATACACTTGGAAATATTCCAACCACCTATCTCTTTTGTCTTCCTTTTACGGACTGGAGATGAACCAACCTTACTATAGTATTTTTGCTCGATGTTATATTATTTTTTAATAATATTAAAAAATAATAAAAATAATTATGTAACGCCTATGGAATTAATTGACCTTTTATTATGTCAACGTCGCGCCGGCGCCGATTGTCTTGGCGCGTTGCGACTGATAATGAAGCCGTCGCCGACCCGAGGGACCAACGCGCCGATCCAGGGCTAGAGCTGAATCCATTCAATCTCGTCCGGACACGCGTCACTTCTTACACCGCGACTCCGCTTCTTGTCCGTCCGATCATAAAGCCCCATAAATGATGGAGGGAAAACTCGGCTGACGTGCGCTACTGGTAACGACGTCTTCTTTTAAGCGGCGTCATTAATTGGTTAATCACCATCCCATCTCTCCGTTTAATTAATTGATGAACCCTTAATCCCCTGTTAATACCCTCCTCCTTCCCTTCCTTTCCCTGCATTCCTCCTATCCATCGACAACAATCTGCAACCCTAATCGTGATTCTCTTTCCTCCCGTCATAAAGTCTCCTCGACTCCTCCTCCGTCCGATTTCCCAACCAAAGCCACGGTAAATTTACCTGTTCTTGACGGCTGAATCGGGGCGCCTTGATCCGGCTGTCGACGGGTTTGTGCAGATGTTCGAGATGAACTTGAGGTGGGGGCGTGCGTACGGGGAGGATCGATTCTACACCACCGTCAAACCACGCCGGAACAACCGCCGCGGCCACCAGCGGGGCCCGCGAAGGTCCCAAAACGGCGTCGCATCCTCCGCCGCCAGAGAGTCCCCTTCCCCCCCGCCTGTTTCCAAGGAGGATGACCGAGTTGGACTGGGGAAGCCGGCTTCGAAGCCCCTGGCCGCGTCCGCTTCCCCTTCCCCTTCGTCGACGGAGGTCGCTCAGCCCTGTAACTTGGACCGGTTCTTAGAGTCCACCACCCCATCGGTTCCGGCTCAATACCTGTCTAAGGTTCAGAACGTTTCCTCCTTTTTCCCCGTTGTTTTTTCACGTTTGGAACTTCTGCTTACGGTTGCTTGGATATCAGACAACGATGAGGGGTCGGAGGACTTGCGATGTGGAGTTTAGCCCTTACTTTGCTCTGTCGGACCTCTGGGAGTCCTTTAAGGAGTCGAGTGCTTACGGTATCGGTGTTCCTCTTCTTCTTAATGGATGTCACAGCGTCGTTCAGTATTACGTTCCTTTCTTGTCTGGGATTCAGTTATACGGTCAATCGAACAGGCCGTCTGCTGATTCTTGGTATTCATTCTTGACATAGTTTGGAGCATTTGATTTTGATTCTCTTTTACCCATGATAGTTCTTGAAAGCTTATGAACGTTCTTATTTGTCTGTTCTTGGTAATATGTCCAGCCTCAAATTAAATTTGGTCACATGGAACGAATAACATGAGCTTGCATGCCATATTTCTTCTTATTAAAAGAGTGGGCATGTCAAATTCATATAAGTTCATATATGTAAATTTGTTATGGCACTGAATTCTGATAACTACTAATTCATGGCTGTAGCGATATTGTAGTTTTAGCCTCACAATATCTATTTTTGTGTAACTAATCTAGTTTTCATTTAGTCTCTCACTTATGTATATTTGAGCCCACATATTGGGAGTTGGCCTTTTGTGAAGTTAGTTTGAATGTTTGCTCCATGTGAAAGTCATTTCTTTTTCAAATATCTGCAGTTTAATACTTGTTTGATCATTGGTTGAACGAATGTCTTGTGTGCATCAATGCGAATTTATTTTGGTTTTGAGGCCATGAGGAAGACAATTACAGTTTTGTCAAACAACATTTATATCATCTGTAAGTCATATGTCACTCATGGAGACTAGATATTAATTATAAATTACTTACCCATGCTGTAACTTCATGGAAATGGCTACTCTATCTTGAATCTTTTAGAAATTGGCTTGGTATAAAAAGGAATTGGTCAAGAGTCGTGGTGTAAGTCCAACCCATGGCTGATTTTCCAGTAAATGGATTCTCGGGATTGGACCTTGTTGGTCCCAATTTGGATAGTGGATCATATTTGAATTGGGCATTGTTTTCGAAGCGCTACTGCATTTAGCAAATCATTGATGATTTTTTGAAGTTTTGGTAGCTAGTTCGAATTATCAAACTCAAAACACTCAGTTTGTGTTTTTCTCCTTCTTTTAATTTTTGTTTTTTCTTTTCATGACTTAGTTATATCAAGTTAAGAGGACATCTGCAATAAATTCCATTCAGTATCCATAGTTCATAAAAATGTTGTACTGAATGCAGTAATTAAAATATTCCATAGATTGTCTGTTCCTTGTCTGGGGAAAGTTCGCATTTTCCCATTAAAACAGTCTCCTGATTGTAATACCTAATGTTTTGTTTGGCCTTGCATTTCTTATGTTGGAAGAAGAGAACCCCATCTTTTTCTTCTGTCTGACAATACCATCACTAAGATACTTAAGTCTATTGCTAACTGTGTATTACAACATATCATAAGGCAACCATTTTAATTATTTTTTGTTTCCATGCACTTCAGATATCATTTCTGTCTTGATAATTTAATACTAGAGAGCCTTTCAATATCCTTGATATGGAAATCATGGCTTTTTGAAAATATTGTTTGGTGAATCAATTTTAGAAGACTTGTGGGAATAAATGGTTATTCTGCTTGTTTCTTAAATTGTTAGTTATTTGAGAGTGTATGACTGACTGCTTGTTTCTTAAATGGCAACTGAGCGAGGAGAATGATAGAGATTGTCATGATTCTAGTAGTAACAAGAGTAGTAATGGAAGCAGCAACTATGGGAATAAGAAGGGCCTGAAGGATTCAAGCACATGGATTTCAAACCAGACAAATCAGAGTCTGAGTAAGTCGTATGCTAGTGAGAAACAAGGACACAAGCAACAGTTATCCTCAAGCAATGATATTTGTTTTGGAAATTCTCAAGGTTACTTGATCTTTGAGTTCCTTGAACAGGAGCCTCCATTCGCTCGTGAACCCTTAGCTGGCAAGGCATGTTTCATAAGTTATCATAACAGCCAAATATTGTGCTAGGATATTGAACCTGTTTCTGATGATGAATTGTTTTATTCCTTTCAGATTTCAGATCTTGCTCGGAACTTTCCAGCACTAAAGACTCTTAGAAGTTGTGATCTTTTGCCATCTAGTTGGTTTTCTGTTGCATGGTAAGATTCACTGACAATATCTTATGTGATATCTGTCACAGATGATACCAACTCTTTTTCTATTCAAATCCATACGTGTTGCAGGTATCCTATATACCGGATACCAACAGGCCCAACACTAAAGGATCTGGATGCTTGCTTTCTGACCTTCCATTCCCTTTCTACACCAGCTAAAGGCAACGTCTACTCTTCTAATTTTTACTGAGATTTAATATGACATATACGTATAGGAGGTAATCTTCATAGGAATTATGGTCTGGTGAAGTTTAGTCTTTTTCCTTTTGGTTATCTTTATTAAATTTTCTATCTTTATGTTTTGACTTGAGGAGGACCACGGTGAGGCTGTAAGAGGACCTCGATTGTGAGAGTTATTTGGATAAATGTTTCTATCTTTATATCATATGAGCATGCAAAAGTAGCTTCTTTGCCTGAGAGTTCTTAAGCCATCTTGGATAGGGTGTTAATGGAGCTCAAAAACCTGACTCAAATCTTTCCCATAGTTTTGGGTATGGATCCCCATAATTATACAATAAGCTTATCGGGTCACTTGTGGACCCTGGATGTATACCAAATTATGTCTATAAATCGAATAATAGAATGAATCTAAATATTGTGGATCATATGTATGGTTCATTGGCTGTTTATTGCATTTGAATCCAACATTTTATCTGATCCAATAACAACCTAATGTTAATCACAGAGGAAATCGAACGTCCAATTTGGACTTTGAGGAATCTACATTTCCTCTTTTATTGAGTGGACAAATTTTGTTTCTTTGTTTCAACTTGATCACTACTGCTGTCAAACTGGAGTCGGCAGAAGAAAATAATTTTTGCTATATTTAATTTTAAAGCTGTTCTCCGCTTCAGGTTCCATTGCTTTTTAATTAGGAACATCCTACCTAGCATTTGTCAGCTTATCTCTGCTACTGTTTCATGAGCAAATTAGAAAGGGAATGGAAATTTTTTTTTAATTTTATTTAACAAATCTCAGTAACTTGTTACATATGAAGCATGAATAATTACAAGCTTAGTCAAAGTTGTGCAAATGCATTTGATGACAAAACACATCACCGTTTTTTTTTTTTTGCTTGGTGTAGTTGCCAGTCTACATGATTGGACATTTTTACATGTAATAATATCTGTTTGAATTGATGGAACCTCGAAAATGAGATGGTTTAATTTGACATATACTGTCCAGGCTAAGTCTATTTCAAGCGTATCATATTTTTCCGGCTAAAAAGTATGCTTACATGTTTTGTTCCTATGTCCTGTGCTCTTCATGCAGATGCTGGTGGTGCTTGCCAAACCGTTACCCATCCGCAGGGGGTTCCCAGAATATCTCTGCCAGTTTTCGGGTTAGCATTCTACAAGTTCAAAAGCACAGTATGGACTCCTGGAGGATCTGAGTCGCCAGTGGCAAACTCCCTCCTGCAAGCTGCGGAAAACTGGCTGCAGCTGCGTCGTGTTGAACATCCAGATTTCTCATTTTTCGCTTCACATCGTGCGTACCGAAATTAAAACCCTAGAATGGATGAAACCGATCGCCCAAGGTTAGATCGTCGATACTCACCTTCTGTCGACCCTTCATCATTTTAACGGGTCTTTGCATAAGATTCCGAGTGACTTAGGATAAAAAAAAAGGGGCGAAAATTGTATGAAAAACATGAAAAATGGTAGTTCAGATACCTCCGTTGAAAAAAGTAAACAGAAAAATAGAGTAAAAGAATATACAAAAAAGAAAGTAGTTGGATCCGATGGATGTCAAAGGGGTAAATGTTGTATGGTTACTTTTTATAACACTAACGACTGTGTCTTTTAATCATGGGATGAATTCTTGTATGGCGCTCGGTTTCGTCTTAATATCTGGTCATCACAATTCATGGATATTTAACTTCTTATATTGTATCGTTTTGTGTATCTTTGTATGCCAACTTCTGTTTGAAGCTCCAACCAAGAAGAAGAAGAAGAAGAAGAAGAAGAGTAAAAGCGGAAGGAGCGTATACTGAAGTAACGACACAAAACAAATAGCAGACATCGACGTTCACGGTGTGAGTGTCACGCGGACACCGACTGCTGGCGGTGTTTCTTATTCATGACCACGATGCATGGATATAGTAGGCATATATAAGATCCTTGGAGGGTAGGAACGGAGTCAGCAGCTTGGAACTGGTACTCCACAAGCAGCGGCCACCTTCCGTCCCCCGCTGATGTATCTGCTCAAGCTGGGGTTCTTCTGGTACTGACAGAAGCAAGGCGCCTGAGACTTGAGCTTGGAGCAGCACAGGCTACTGGGCGGCGAAGACTTGAGGATGGCCGCCGCGCAGGGCGTCAGCTCCGTTGGGTTGCACGTCGCCGCTTCCACCGATGTCGGGGCGCGGAGGAGGAGCAGGGCCGCGATCACGCAGAAGAACACAACCGAGGACTTCATCTTGGAAGAAGCTTAATTAGTAGCGAGCAGGAGGAGATGAGACGATGGCACAAAGTGGAGGATCGAGCTACCTATTTATAGAGGAGCTACCTATTTCTAGAGGAGCTACCCCCCCCCCCCCCCGGACTTTTGACATGAAAATTAAGCCAACTCGCGGTTGGGATTCTCAACCTCGCGAAAACATCATTGACGACAGTGTTGCTGTTGAAAAAGATGCCAGCGTTATGACGATGGTGTGGATGACCAAAACGTCATTTAGAATCCCTCAACCGCCTGTGAAGCTGATTAAGAACAACAGTAGAATCATTTATGTCGACGCAATCATAAATCACGAGACTTCCGAGGATAAAATTGGGGATCATTTGTCCGCCAATGTGAATCTACCGCGAGGTCAAGAAACAGGAGCTGCCAAACACCCTTCCGGTTGTGAACACCATGGATTGCGGGCAAAGGTGGCGACTTTGACAACCAAACACCCTTCGCTTTGACGACAAAAGAAACATCATCCGTAATCTAAAAGAAATTACGAGGAAGAAACAAGAGAAGACTCGTGTAACGTCTATCCAGGGATAGGAGCACCGTCCCAAGTCTTCGATTGGACCGCGTGTACGCACACGACACGCAAATCTTGATGACCAGATTGAAATTTTGGTTACGATGATTATTATTTTTATAATTTAATTTGGAACTTAATTAGAATTCGTAGATCTCTCGAATCTAATCAGAAGATATCTGAAAATAAATTAGAACAAGTGCTTGACGTGAAATTAAAAGAAATAGAGGATCTTTCATCAAGTGAAAAAAAAAAAAAAAAGATATCTCGATATATTTTTCTAAAATTGAAGATACAAGTAATATTCATATTACGTTGTGAATATTCAGAAGAATATGTTACCAATGTTGATATAAGGATTGTCATTATGAAGCACATATAAAGACTAATTAATATTTTACTATAAAAAGGTTAGAAATCTATGCAAATGATTATGTTGATCAAATTTATTTCGTATTTGGAGACCGGTTTAAGAAACTTGACATTATTGGTTTTAGATTTTTTATAATTTATCAAGATCAATACGATAGATAAAGCACATGAAAGACTATTTTGGATTGCATGAGTTAGAAGAAAAATTTTAGAAAGTGCTACACACAACACATCGAAGGGGATAGCATAAACTTCGATGCTTTTCATAATGTATTTTTACAAAGTTTAATTTAGGGATGGATGCTTGAATATTAAATTAAGCTTTACGATCATATAGCATTTTAGTTTAGAAGTCTAGTTAGAAGTCTCTATCATAATTGGATTCAAAGTATTAAGTTTATCATTTTATAAATAAATAGCTCACGTGATGTTTTGTATATACATTTAAGATGAGAGATAATATAAAGCTAAAAGAAAGGAGAGGTATTCTACCACATTAAATAAGATGTCTTTAACTTTAACATGTCTTTAACTTTAAAAAATTCCATCTCTTGTTATGTAAAGAAATCAATATATCCTTACCTCTATCAGTGCCTCCGCTCTATATTATTTCTGTGTCACTTTCGACTCTCATCCCCTCAATTATGTCTCATCAGACTTATCATTATCTTTGTGCATTTCATTAAATTTGTCTCGATCTCACATGAGGAAGGAAATGGCTCTTGTCGCTCTCATGTGTGAAGAAGGGATGAGTCCGATAATAATGACCCTTGTCATCCTCGTCCATAATCATCATGAACAGGGGAGAATCCATCATCATTATTGATTGCATAGGGGCAAAAATAACGATAAATCTAATAGGATAAAAGGGAGAAAATATAATTAATTTAGGTGGCGCAAGGGCAATGCAAGGGGATGTAATTTGAAGGATAAAAGTAAAGCTATCATTTATGAAAAAGAAGATATCCTTTTGTTAAATTTAAAAAATTAATGTGAGATTTTCTCAAAGATAATTTTTCTTTTAAATAAATTACTCTTCAATAAAGTCATCAGAACTTTTTTTATTTCTTAGTTTCTAATAGATTGAGACAAGTTTTTGTCTTCTTTCCCCGGGTCAAAAAAAAAAGTCTACCAGAGAACAACAAATGGTGCATAACGGAACTCCATTTAGTGCAGGAAAGAAGGAACGGGACGGCAGCGGCAAAGTGTAATCAAGTCCATTAGGTGAAGGTAGCTATCACAGTACAAGACCACCGTCTAATGGTGGGTGGAAAAGACGCTCCACAACACCCAGCATGTTGTTTCAGCAAGAACAGTAGCAGAGTCGATCGACATGTGTTCTTAATGATGTCGATCCTATGGTGACTCTGAGACACATCTCATTGCCCATCACATGGCAACAGCTTCGCCATATATCGATGCTCAGCTCCTGCAAAGATGGAAAATGACATTATAAGCTTCCGAAACCTAAGCACAAGGTCGTCTCCTCCTCCTCCTGCTTGCACAATGTGTAGTTTCTGTCACAGCACTATGGTGCCCATGTCCTCGGCTCCACCCTCCATTATTTCTGATGGCACACCAAACAATGGCCGATGGTCCCTCCCACGCACCTCAATAATTGGTAACGGGGCCGTCGAACTTGTCTTTCGTACGTTCGTCAAGCCCACCCCATGCTGAACATTTAGTGCCGATCATGTGTTTGATGAGGGCGTTGGGAAGGCAAAACTCATTATTGCACCACACTTACCGTATTATCTAATTTTATAGTGTCAGTAGGTATCGTCGTTCTCCTTTGCTCATGTAAATGGGGCCTCCAAGCAGGACTGCACATATTTCTACGTCATCGATGCGAAATATTCTACACGCAAGGGTTGTGTTGCACCCCCCACCATCACTGGAGTCACCCAAGGTTGTGTTGTCATCTTCTACACAACCTAAGTCGGGACGAAGCGGACGGGAGGCCAGCGTGTGGGGGAATTCACAGCAGACACGACACGCCAGAGACGGCCGCCACCTGGTCATGCACCGTAAACAGCGGGCGGCGGCACAACACCGGCAGATTTCCTCTCCTCTCCTCTCCTCCATGGTATCATGTTTTGGCTGCCTCGTGATGCACGCAACACCATCGGCTCCAAACGAGAAGCCTCCTCTCATCACCCACCGTTCGAGGACAGGCCGCGATGATGACAGAGATCTTGTGAAGATGAGACGACAGCTCCACAAAACAGCCTGTTGGGCTATGGAACGGCCCACTTAGCAGAGAAGGATATGGTCGCTGTCTTGGCCGATGGTGACCGTGAGACCGGCCTCGAAGCAGCAGTATTGGATGAGGTGTCCACAGAAAACGATACTGTTGACCTGTTGGTTTCGGCCCTCCTTACCACAGCCGAGACGTCGTTGGATAAGATAGGACGAGTCTTGGCCTCTGCTCGTCGTACAGGCTATTTTCTCACGTACGTGGCAGAAAGTGAATGGCTTCTCCTCCAAAATATCTCCCGTCTGGCCCAAAATATCTACAGTCTATTTTCTTCGAATTCCGATTGCAATGTTCTATAGCTACAAATTGTGATCCAAACTAAAGGTAGACTATACTATACACGTATTTCAAACGATTCGGTATAAGAACCAGACCTAACCGGACGAAAAATTCAAGAATTGGATCATTAATCGATCCGATTTAATTATTATATTAGATAAATTAAAAAATCAAATAAATCGATTAACCTGATCGATTTTTAGATAATCCGTATGAATCGATTTGTAATATAATGAAAGATTATTTAAATGACCTTAATTTAAGTTTTTGTTATTTTTATACAATTTTTTAAATTAGATTTAGTATTTTAATTTTTACTATATATAATTTTAAATTAAATATGCCCAGTGACTATGTTTTTTCGTATAGATCTTCACCAAATACTGAAGTACGAAGATACCATCCAGAAGATTCCAATCTGATTACAATGACAACTTTGGCGGACGATGTTCTTCCATACATACATGTGTGTATGTGTCCAAAAAGGAAAAGGTGATGTACTCAAAAATGTGCTGAGAAACTTGTGGCAATGGTTTTGCTACGTGCGACGTGACCGGCTCATGTCTTTGTCGTCGTCTTCTTACGAAGGCACTCACACTACCAAATCCCAATCATTGCCAGAGAGTATGCCGAAGGTTGTATGTACTTATTAGGGTGTCTTTCCGAGGTGTAAGGAGTCTATCAAGTTCTCCCATACAGGACTCACGATTAAGGCCACAGGTGTATCTGTTCTTCCCATTCTTCGTTGTATAATGTGATGAATCTTGAGCGTAACTTTTTTCTAAATTTGATGTCCTTTCTTCTGTTCTAGTTTTGGCCAAGCAGAGCTCAAATGGAGAGGAACCGCGCGCCCCTCCCGGAGGTAACTGATTATATTTTGCGGAATACACTTGTTTCTATCTGACTGCAAGATCTCCACTTTTTTTTGTCTGAAGGATTTGTCTTCGCAATGCAAAGAGCTCATCTTTGCTGAGATGAAGGTGAACAAGTTGATCAACAGGAAGAAAGTTGCTGAAAGAGAAAAGGTTCAGTTGCTATCTGAGCTCTGCGTCGCCGACGACGAAGCAAAAGACTTAACGATAAGGATCGAGGAAGCTCACGCCAAAGCCATCACCTACAAGCTGAAGCTCCAAAGTCTGAAGAATTCTGACACGAGTGAAGATGAACAACTCAGCAGCCGCCAGTATACCGAAATTTTGAGAGAAGTGGATGATGTCAAACAGCAAATCTGCGGCCTTAAACTCGACATTGCTTCCGCTTTACAGGAGAAAGCCAGAGCTCGGTCGGAGATTGAGTCCTCGAGTGCAGAGGCTCGGTCGTATTCGAGGTACAAAGAAGAGCTACGAAGGGAGATCGACGAAGTAAATGTACAGCAAGAATTCATTGATCTTGCTAGAATCGAGGCCGACGGAGAGTTCAGACGCTTAGAAGCTCAAAGAGAGGCAGAAGCAGCTCATTTCACTGAAAGCGTGCGAAAAGCTAACTCCAGAATTGATGGCCTCCGCAGAGAGATTACTTCTGCCAAGCAGCTGCAGGCGACGCTAATGATAACTTCTTTGGATGTCGATGCCTTGCAGAATGAGATGGAGTTCATTAGAGCAGCAGAGAAGAGCTATCAAAAGACATATTTGGTAGAAGACACTGGTAGAATGGAGGAAGAGCAGGAGACTGATATCTCTCTGTTCCGATCGACCAAGGCGGAGTTGGAGGCAGCCAAGAATGAATTATCGACTGTTAAAGAAGAAGGGTACAAACTCATGGATGAAATGGATGGCATAAGGAAGGAACTGATAAGAATTGCTGATGGAAAGGAGCAATCGAGCAGAGCGAAGAAGAATTCTGATTCCTGCTTTGAGACTCTCAACACCAAGCTACACAAAGCCATGTCGAAGATGGAATCTGCTTCGATGGCGGAGAAGAGAGCTGATACAATAGTCGCAAATCTCTCAGCCGCACTGCAACAGCTCCACTCCGACATAGATGCAGCGAAGAGGGAAGCAGAACTGGTCTCTGAAGAAACTAAAGCAGTGAGAACGGAGACCGAGAAGACCAGAATGCACACTCAGTCACTAAAAGAAAGGCTTCAGGAGGCAATGGAGGAGCTCAACACGGTGAAAGCAGCAGAAGCGAACGCTCTCGAGGGGCTGAAGGCGATTACCGAAAGCACCATGAGGGAAAGGGCAATCTCATCTATTTGGAGCTCCACCATTACCATCTCCAAGTTCGAGTACTACTATTTGACTAAGCAGGCAAAGGCAGCTCAGGAAGTTGCGGACAAAAAGGTGGCAGCGGCTCAAGCATGGATGGAAGCGTTGAAGGCTAAAACCGAGGAGAGAAGACTGAACGCTGAAACTGATCCGACGCAGAGCTGGGTGCTTGTGCCAGTCGAAAGGGAATCACTTTCCAAGCCAAAGAAAGGATCGGTTCTTAAGAAGGCGATCAAGATGGAGATAAATCACCATGAAGAAGAACGAGAGCAGAAGCTTGTCCAGTCTCATGACATGAAGCTTGCGATAGCGATGCCGAGAAGATCGCTTACTGTAAGCGGTGTCTCAGGGACATCGAGGAGGCTTCATGCTTCGAGAAAGTCGAATTCAACGAAGCAGCGGCCGAGCTCCGCCTTCACTCCTCCATCCTCGGCTCACAAGAAGGGGAAGTTGGTGAACACCTTGGTTAGGTTTCTTACGACTCCAAAGCAGCGTTGGGGTTCAAGACGCAACGTGTAACAAGTTCTCATCATCATCTTCGTCTCACTCACCTTGTTTCAGGTTGCATGGTCTTCCTTTCCCGGCTGAGACAGCCGATGAATCTTATGTACTATTAGCAAATAATGGAGAAACCATGTAACCTTGATGCTGTTATGACCTTGAAAATATAATTCATGCTTCTATCTTTCAGTCCAATCATCATCGTCTTCTTCTTTTTTTGTCCAAGGTAAAAATACCCTGTTTTGTTTTCTTATTACAATCACTATTGTTATTGCTGCCGGTAACCGTGTTCGCTTGCTGGTGTGACAGCCTCAGCACACATCAGGGGTGAAGCCCACCCGGTCGTTGACGAGGTCAAATATGACACGTGTCCCCTGTTGCTGTACGTTACCGATGATCGAGAACGCCACCGGGGAAGGTGCGAAGGCCAGGCAGTAGGTGCCCTCGTCGTTCACCGGGATCAGGTAGTTCTTCGCTGGCAGCAGCAGCGCCTTCCCCTCCGGGAAGTGGAACGCCACCGACGGCACCGTCACGCTCGCCCGCGATGACAGGTTGTAGCACGTGTCGAACGGTATCATCCTCTCCGCCGGCGGTAGCGCCTCCATCTGCACCTGGAAGTCGTCCCGCAGCGTAGCATACGCCGCTTCCTGCAGCCGCGTTACCGACGTGCCGGAATCCACAATCACGCCCCCGGCTCCGGTGCTCTCGTCTATCGCGAAAGCCGACGGCGGGATGGGCAGCATTTTCCCGCCCACGCTAATACCCGTCAGCTCGACGTAGTAGAAGGTGTCCAGTAGAGGGTTGCGGAGGAGGGGTGCCGTCAAGGTCGACGAGGGGGTGGAGGCGGCGGTGCTGATGTTGAGGATGGAGGAGGCGTTGGAATCACGATCAACGAGGCAGTAGGTGATGGAACGGGCCGAGATCTGGGTGGGAAAAGAGAGTGGCCCGCCGCCCAGGCCCAGCAGCCCGGCCGCGCTGTCGAAAACCCCCTCGTTATCGTGGCCGCAACCCATGGCCACCTCCGAGACCGAGGCCGACCCGCCGAATGTCAGCGTCTCGGTGGCGAAGTCCCCGACGGTGTAGGACCCGTCGCCGTACATGACCTGGTACAGGCATCTTTCATCGGCTGCGGCGGCGGGGCCGGAGGAGGAGTATGTGGAGTTGCGGCAGGCAGAGAGGGCGAGAGAGTGACATAGGGAAGAGTCGCAAGAGAGGAGGGTGTAAGAGGAGGAGTCGGAGGGGTCGAAGACGGGGTCGGACTGCTCGTAGCAGTCGGCGCAGGGAAGGCACTGGACCCAGCTGACGTCGCTGCCGGTGTCGAGGATCATGTAGAGGGGCTTTGGAGGGCTGCCGACCCCCACCCTGGAGAAGTACTCGCCGCTTCCCATGCTGGCCCCGGAGATAACAGAACCCATAATCGAGTTCACGGCGGCGATCTGGAGGGCCTTCACGTCCGTGTTGGGATTCAGAACGGAGTCGGCGACAGCGCCGAAGGCGAGGGTGGCGCGGACCGCGATAGAGCGGACGCGGGCTACGTCGCGGAACAGGCGAGCGAGGGTCAGGGCCTTATAGTCGGGGTGGCCGTGGGCGGAGGAGCCAACGAACGAGGGGAGGAAGTCTCGCGAGTGAAGGGCGACGGAGATTGCGGAGGAGGGGTCATAAGGGAGGAGGTGGGAAGGGAGCTCGGTGGAGGAGGGGGGGCGGTACGAGAGAGCAAGGTGGGCTTGAGCGAGGCTTGTGGAGACGTCGAGGGTGGCGGTAGTGGGGTATCCGGTGCTCTGCACCTCGGGGTGAAGAGACATGGCTGGGGATGTGGAGAGCGTGAGTAAGGAGAACAGAAAGAGAAGGAAGAGGCGGCTGTGCGTATTCTCCGCCACCATCATGGCTTGAGCCGGAGCGTGGCAGCAGAAGCGAAAATGGTCGTTGGTGATACGATGTGGGGGTACCGTTTCGCTTATATGACTTCAGTTCGTTTCACCTATGCGACTTCGGTTCTTGTAAAGGAATAACCACAATAACAATTAATAAACTTATTGATTAAACTCTATATTTATGTGGGTGTTGTTTACTTCTTTAAAGAAACCGTACTATGTGATCATTAAAACAGCTTGCAAGTTCCACATAATTGTCACTATGAAACATCCAAATTTAATGGGCACAAATTTAGGTGTCGGATTCTATTAATTATATCTAGATTTTTTTTGTTATATAAAATAAAAAAATAAAAAAAATTAACTCACATCTAATATGAGTTTAATCGAGATTCGATATGTATATGAAATAAACTTCATGCAATATAAATCAAACACTGAAAGTTTTTGTTCTGAAGAAGAAATTATCATTGTTGAACCTTTTTAATTTATATTAATTTATAGGGACAATTTATATGTTTTCGTCCCAATCTCCTATGCTGACTTGGCCATGCGCCGTCGCTACTGTCGGACGCGCTTCCGTGGCGTGTTCTGTATGTGGACCATGACCCAAGCAATATCCACCCACGGCCAAAGTCCACGTGGCCGGCTCAGCTGTCTCAACGATCGTCGCTGAATCTTTAGTGGTCATCTCAGTGGGCCCAACGGTAGGCTCATGAATTAGGCTATCTGGTAACCAACGACAGGCGCCCTGTCCTGTTCGGTGGCCCGGTTGTGACACAGGAGCCAAATCACAACCTCGAGTCCGAATCGACAACCAAACACGCTTCTAATGCCACCGCCGCTCCTCCTCCTCTTCCCCCTCCACCTCCTCTTCACCTCCCCTGCATCTATCCTCCGATGCCAGTGTTGACCGGCCCTAATCGATCTCCACACCATATATTTCTTCGTTTCTGCTCGACTCCCGATTCGATTAGGTTAGGTCCCTTTTTGTTCTGGTCATCGGGGATACGGAGCTGGTTTCTAGGGTTCTTGGATCCTTGTTTCTCTTAGTTATTACTCGATCGATTGGGGAGGAATTTTGCGTGTGCGATGTATAGCAATTTCAAGGAGCAGGCGATCGAGTACGTGCGGCAGGCGGTGCAGGAGGACAATGCCGGGAACTACGTCAAGGCCTTCCCCCTCTACATGAATGCCCTCGAGTATTTCCGCACTCATCTCAAGTACGAGAAGAACCCCAAGATCAAAGAGGCCATCACCCAGAAATTTACCGAGTACCTCCGCCGTGCCGAGGAGATCCGGGCCGTGCTTGACGAGGGCGGCTCCGGCCCCGCCGCTAACGGGGACGCAGCCGTTGCCACCAGGCCTAAGACCAAGCCTAAGGATGACAGCGGCGGCGATGGAGGGGAGGACCAGGCCAAGCTCCGTGCTGGCCTCAATTCCGCCATCATCAGGGAAAAGCCCAACGTGAAATGGAATGATGTTGCAGGGCTCGAGAGCGCCAAGCAGGCCTTGCAGGAGGCTGTCATCTTGCCTGTCAAGTTCCCTCAGTTCTTCACTGGTTTGTGCTTTCTCGTTCTCACTTGATTGATTTTTCACTTTCTGATGTTGAGATTATAATACATGACATTTTGATGCAACAAAGATTAATTATTAGGTACTCGTTACTCAACATGTTCCAAACAATTCACATATGCTTTCGATGTGTGAATCATGCAAAGTTTGAGTGATTTATACAATCTTCACAAATAATGGTTTAGCTCATGATTGAGACACATGTGCATACAGTTCATGATTAGTTGTAATCCAGATATGATTTAGAAGCTTCATCATTTATGATTGAGAGGCATATCTGTGTCATTGGTTCTTATTGTCACAATTTTCTGAACTGTATCAGTTTTATGACTGATTTTCTTGGAATTATAATTCCTTGTTTGTCATCTTTTCTGTTGTCCTGCCAAGGAGTGTGAGTATTGTCTAACCGAGGGATGTGAGCACATGTTTATTGCAATATCATTTATTTCTAGTTAAACATTAATCCAGTGGGAATTTGTTTTGCTTAACAGAATGGAACCATATTGTTAACTGAAATATCTTTCACAGAATGTGATACCTGCTAAAAGCTCATTCCAGCTGCTAGAACACAAATGTGCTTGATTTAGTTGGCTTTGTGATTCTGAAAGTCTCTTGTGAGATATGTCTACATATAAATATGCATATTTTACTATACCTACACTCAAAGTGAAAATGCTAGATTAGATAAATCTATGTGTATTTCGGTTGAGTCCTTTCCTTCTGATTTATCTGAAATCTTGTATGCAGACCTCTCCAGGTCTTTTTGTAGGGCATTGATGTCGTAATAAATTTTATTTTCAAAAAATAAAAAAGCATTATGAGCTTTTAAACATAGCTTCGTGATTGATATCCTAAAAGTCACTAATGCCATCTTTCAAACTCTTTTCTTTTGTAATGAATCAGATATCATGACCTGTTAAGTAAACCAATTGTAAAATTGTATTTGTTATAAAAGTTTGGTGGATAGAAATATCTACTTCTTTGATTTATGATTAACTCTTTCTATGAAAGAAGGTGTGTGTGAGAAGCTGCTTTTTTTTACCTAATATGGAAGAGCACTGCACTGGACATATTTAAGCTTTTTGGTGCCTAGGTTGTTTTGTTGTATGTTCCTAGGATGTCTTCTTGCATACCTGGAGTAATGTTTCTTGGATGACTTTTGCAAAAAAGTTTTCACAATGAATTTCTTTTGATTTAACTACGTTGATTTAGTAATTTTCTTTTCTTCTCTATATTAGGATTGTGCAGGAATTCTATTCATGGTTACTGGATTTTGATCTGAACAAGAATTTAGACTATGCTTATTCATAAACATCAGATTGACATGTCAGAGAACTATTTTAATGTTCCTTCCATAAGCAAAGGTCAAAAGCACAATGCTTCACCTGAGAATTTAAATGCTCTTTCTCGTTTCATGTTCTGCTGAGCTACTTGCATTTTCACTGTAAGTGAAGTACATAGAACTAATCAATTAGGTGTGTTGTTCTTTTTCCAAAACCTTAGGCAAACGAAGGCCATGGAGGGCATTTCTTTTGTATGGTCCACCTGGAACTGGAAAGTCATACTTGGCAAAAGCTGTTGCGACAGAGGCAGATTCAACATTTTTTAGGTAACATGCCTATCAGATTACTTCCTATACTATCGTCTTTTGAGGGGAAGAAAATATTTAGGTCCTAAGGATCTATATAATAGTATGAATTTTTCTGTGACATTTGCCAGTCCTTTCTCTTTTACTCCAATGAAAACCTGATGTTTACCCGCTTAGTTGTCCATTACATGGAGTCAATTCCTTGGACGTTTAAGTTATCTGAAAGCCTTCTTTCACCATGGGTTACCAGCTTTACAAAACAAAGGTTGAGGCACTCTTGTTGCTGAGTAGATAATTGCTCCAAGAATTTTGTCTCGCATGATTTGTTTTTCTTTTTTTAAACATTTGATTTTATGATATCATATGTTGCTATTCTTTACAAAGTTCTTTTCTGCATAATGCATTCCTCGAATTTCTCCATCTAGCATCTCTTGTATCTAATTATGTATGTATATGTACCTCTCATAGATCTCGGATATCATCCTTGATTTTGTTATGCAATATCTTGAAAAGGAAAGGCATTCATCTGTTACTCATAACAGATCATAGGGTTAAAGGAAGTTTCAACAGGAGTAGCAACATGGAATATGACTTTTTCTTAAGGGGCTCTATAGCACAGCTTGTGAAATAAGGCAAGTTCAGTTTGCTTGATTTGAGTGTTAGGGTAAGTACATACCTGAATACTTGTGAGATTTTTTTTTCTATTCCTTGTTAAATCCTGAAGCCTGGTCGATGTTCTGGATAAAAAAAGTTTTATATTACAAGAGCTTTCTATTATTGTTTAAGTTCCTTTAACTTTCAAATTTTAGGAGATAGCAGCACAAATTAAGATGTTGTCTTCTAGATTTCTCAATTAGTACAAATTTAGAAGTTGTATAAGATTTTTTAGCTTGCTTATAAGTTGTAGAATATGAAATTTGTCTTGCAAAGATAATAACTTCTGCCTATAAGTTGATCCCTTTGTGAACTGAGTGATCAAGGTTTGAGTCACGAAGATAGCCTATATACTTTTTAGGGGTAAGGCTGCATATGTTTACCCTCCCTCATCTCTGGTTTGGTTGAGGAGCCTTATGCATTCGGCTGGCTTTTAAGCAGTTGGTCCTGATGTTATGGCAAAGTCGCTTCCTTGCTATTTAAATGACCATAGTTGTCGAAACTTCTTCCCCGCGTGCAATGGTAAGGCTGTGTTCATTAATTCCTCCTCTGCGGAGTCTGCAGTGACTGTAGCCTCAGGCATTAGAACTTTTTTAAAAAAAATTATCATGGTGTACTTAAAAGTCATGTGTGTTCCATGGTACAGACAAACTTGATATCTTATATGCTTATCCAAGAATAGCTAGACGCACAATAATGTAATGCAGAAAATTGATGAAATTTACATGTTCTTAAATGTTGCAGTATATCTTCATCAGACCTGGTCTCAAAGTGGATGGGTGAAAGTGAAAAGTTGGTTGCAAACCTTTTCCAAATGGCTCGTGAAAATGCCCCTTCAATAATTTTTATTGATGAAATAGATTCCCTATGTGGTCAGCGTGGAGAAGGTAATGAAAGTGAGGCTTCACGAAGAATAAAGACAGAACTTCTTGTGCAGATGCAGGTATGTCTGCCCATTTTCTTAGCTGATTTGCTTCTCTGCTACTATCATATACTTCCATTGTGCTTTAAGAAATCCAAGCTGGTTAGCTTCTCAATCTCCTTTTCATTAAACATATTTTTCTATTTGTGTTTTGTTGAACATTAGATTGATGATGGCTTATTGTTGGCTTTGGCCTAAAATGCTCATAGACTTTCCATTTATGTTCATATTTGTGATTATACAATAGCCATAGGGATAAACAGCAACTTT